CAGCTTCTTCAGTGTTGTCTCCAGCCCCCATTCCTGGTGAACTTGTGGTCCCCAACCCTAGCCTCCAATTTGTGTGAACAAGGACATTTTTTTCTTCTTTGATTTGTTGTCCTTCTACCTTCCACGCTCCACCCCCATTTCATGTTTGCCCAAGGTAGAAACTCGGCCCAATTAAGGCAAAGGTCAGCACACCCATTCTCTTGACCTCTGGCTGGCTGGGCGGCCCAGATGGGAGCACCTGGTGACAGGTGGTGGGCAGCTGTGCCTAGAACTCTGCCTGTAACCTAGAGCCCAGAGGTTTCTGCTGGATCTCTGTTCTCGAGAGCCTCCTATGTGGCGCTGTCCTGAGTCTCCTGGTAGCTCTTCCCTGTGTCTAGCCATGGTCGCTCCTTCTTGGAAGTTGATTTCTTCGCCACCAGGCCCCTGTGGGAGAAACTGCTCAGGATTTCTTTCTAGACACACTTCTTCCCTGAGTGTGAGGGTGACCCCCTCCTGCTTGCCCTCACCTGCCTTGATCCCGGCACACACCCCTGCCCCCATGCCTCACATCAGGGCTCCAAATCTCCATGGATGGACAGAATCCATCATCGTTTATATCCCCAAGCCTGATCCTACTTCAGGGCCTGTTTGCTCTGCCTGAACGCTGCCCGCTCCCCAGATAGATACCCGTGTAGCTGCTCCCCCACCTCCTTCAAGTGCTCAAACCTCACTTGCTCAGGGAAGCCCTCCTAACTCTCTGCCAAATCAAGACCCCTCTGCTCGGCCGTCTGTTCTGACTCAGAGCAGGCCTGCAGGACGGAGTAGAACTCCCCAACAGGGTTCCCAAGGCTGCCATCCTGGAAGCCAACTGCCACCCTTTCTCCACCGAGGGAGGGGGGAGGGAGTGGCTGGCTCCTGGACTAAAGCCGCCAGTCCTGTTGTTAGCAGCTGAGTGCTTCACCGTGATGACCCCAGGGCAGCTCCTACCTTCACTGCCTTGATTTCCACTTGAGGCAGAATTAACTGGAGTGCAGCGCACCTGACCCCGCTCTGTAATTACCTGACTCCCCTGCCAGAAGAACCCGCTCCCCGAGGGCAGGGCTTTTTGTCTGTCTGGTTCCTTGCTGGATAGCTCTAGCTTCGAGACTGGAGCCTGGCACACAGTAGGCACTTAGTCAGTGTTCTGATGCCCTAAGTGACCATTTACTTAGCCCTGGTGGCGCTGATGGGTAAGCGTTGGCTTGCGAACTGCGAAGGCGGAGGTTGACACCCATCAGCTGCTCATGGAGAGAATGATGTAGCTGTTCGCCTCAGTGAAGCATCCCAACCCCGGGAACCCTGTCTAGGTTTGTGAGCCCAGTGGACTCCATGGCAGTGGGTTTTGTTTGCTCGTGTTGGGTATCGCCTGTCATTTGCCGGGTGCTGTTCTAAGTGACTTACGTAGGTTACCTTTCAATGCCACCATGGTTGTCTGTGTGATAATTACGTTCTCCTGCACTGAAACATACAAGGCAAAAAGGTCAGGCCACTTACCCAAGGTCTGAGAGCAAAAGACTTGTGGTTGGGATTTGAACTTGGGATCCTGGGG